TTTTTATGGAGTGACAAAGCCCAAAAGAGCTTTGAAGAATTGAAGAAGAAGGTCACTAAAGCCCTTCTACTTGTACTTCCCAACTTTGACCTTATGTTTAACGTAGATTGTGATGCTCCAAATGTTAGAATTGGTGCAGTATTAAGTCAAGAAGGATGACCAATTGCCTTTTTCAATGAAAAGTTGAATGACAAAAAGCTTAGATATTCCACCTATGACAAAGAATTCTATGCAATTGTTCAAGCCTTGGAGCATTGGAGTCATTATCTTCTTTCAAAAGAATTTATCCTGCACTTTGACCACGGGCATTGAAGCATTTGAATTCTCAACAAAAGATTAGTTGTTGACATGCTGCTAGGAGTGAATTTCTACAAGCTTATCCATTCCTCCTCAAATACAAATCTGGAGTCCAGAATCGCGTAGATGATGCTCTTAGTCACCGACATGCCTTGCTTACTTCCTTATAGATGAAAGTTATAGGATTTGAAGTGATCAAGGAGTTGTATGAGGATGATCCTGATTTTAGTAGCATTTGGAAAGCCACTTATGATCAAGCCTTTCAGCAATATCATTGCCAGCAAGATTACCTATTCAAGGGTAACCGACTATGTGTCCCACGTTGCTCACTTTGAGATTCAATTATCTAGGAAGCACATAATGATAGATTAGCTAGTCATTTCAAGAGAGACAAGACTTTAGCTCTTGTTAAAGAAAATTTCTACTAGCCAAAGGTGGAGCAGAATGTCATTTGTCACATTCAAAGGCGTAAAGTTTGTCACCAAGCCAAGACAATCAGTCAGAACACAAGGCTGTATCTACCATTACCTATCCCAACATCACCTTAGGAAGATGTTAGCAAGGATTTTGTCCTTGGTCTACCACGAACTCAATGAAGCAAGGATTCTATCATGGTCGTGGTTGACAAGGTTTCTAAAATGGCTCACTTTATTGCTTGTCAGAAAACTAATGATGTTTCTCTCATTGCTGAGTTGTATTTTATATAGATTGTGTGTCTACATGGAGTTCCAAAGACTATCACTTCAGATAGAGATGTCATTTTTGGAGGACTTTATGGAGAAAGATGAGCACTCAACTTCAATTTAGTTATGCTAGCCATCCCCAAACCGGCAGCCAAACTTAAGTTATCAACAAGATTTTAAGGAATCAACTACAAAGTTTTGTGGGAAAGAATTTGCAATAATTGGATTTTGTGCTTGCCGAAGCTAAGTTTGCCTACAACAACTCTTTGAATCAAGCTACAGGAAAATACCCATTCGAAGTATTATATGGAATGCATCCTCTCAGTCCTTTAAATCTTGCTCCATTGCCCACATCTCGACAATTTAGCACAGATGTTGAACAACGAGCCAAGGAGATCAAAAAACTTCATGAAGAGGTTCATGAGAAGCTACAACGTCAAACCATTAGGTGTAAGGCTCAT